CATCCTGTTCTGGGTCAGGGTGCCAGTCTTGTCAGAGCAGATGGTGGAGGTGGAGCCCAGGGTTTCCACAGCCTCCAAGTTCTTTACCAGGCAGTTCTTACGAGCCATTCGCTTAGCAGTCAGTGTGAGACACACCTGAGAGAGGAGAGACGAGAGGGAGGAAAGCAAAGAGGGAAACGAATGGCAGAGAGAGAACACAATGGCAAGGAGAGAAAGAAAGCCAGGAGGAAAGGAGACGTTGACGATAGAATAAGACAAAAGGAAACAAACAAACCAGAGGAGAAAGAATTAGTATCCATCTGGTAAACTAACAGCACAGGTGAACATCTCCAGGTGTTAAACTAACTTTTGCCAATGAGCAGACACAACAGTGTCATACTGTACCTGAAATACTCAACCACACCCAAGAGCCAAAAAGCCCTGACACCTGGAGATGTTAATCTTACTCACTAAAATGTCACTCTACAGCAAAATGCACTAAAATCAAAACCTATTTACAAAAATAAAAGAACAGCCCAACCAGCGATGCAGAAAGAATATGTGGCACAAAAGAGTGAAGCAGTGAAGCAGAGCAGCGGTGCATTATGTCATCATGCCAAATACGGCAAGACCCATGGGCCAAACAGAACTAGCCAAGGCCAAGCAGAAGAGGCCAAATTCAGTCATTAGTCTAGTATCATTTACATTAGCTAGTTGTTGTCATTGCAGATAGCACCGAACTGGCCTGGAAAAGAGAGAAAGAGAGAGAGAGAGGATGATGGAGGGAAAGAAAGAGACACACAAACACATATGGGGCTGCCTTGGGAGAGAGAAGAAAGAGATGGGAGGAGAAAATATAAACGGAGACAAAACACCACCTTCACCACAAAAACAGATAGCGATACGGAGAGAATGTTAACACACAGAAATACAAAGATACACACAGAGATGCACACGGACATACTGCAACATCACAACACACTGAACAAACAAACAGAGATACAAGAAGCAAGGACAAAATCAAACAGCAGACACATGACAACAACAGCTAAAACACTGAGCACACAATCAGACATGGGTGAAACTACAAACTGTTTGAGGATTCTCATCGATTTACCATTAGGACTACCTGTATTATATTCAGTAGGTTATTATCTTAATAATAAAATCTTCAATAGAGTGTGGCTTATTTGTGGGCTAAAACAAACAAACAAGACATCACTGTCTAATTTTTAAAAGCGATGTTTGTGAGTTGGGTAGAAAAGGAGGCCTATATTTGGTACTGGTCAAAAAAACATTTAAAAGCTGTTCCTGTTTTGGTGAGAAATCATTGTGAGTCCAAAATAATTTACATTTTCTGGGATTTGTTTTAAGCTTCTTATATGAAAATACTGTTTGACCCAAGTCTGCACAAAACACTGAGGAGAGACAAAACACACAAAGACTGTAAAGAGAAAGACACAAGAAAAACAGCTCGAAGTGAAGGAATCATACAACTGAACAACAACTTTCTACTCACATTCCTTCAGTCCCTCTCAAAGACTAAAAACACAACTAATGATCACGCACGCACGCACACACACACACACACACAGTTTCTCATTTCTCTGCCTACTCACAGTGACAGTGGCCAGCAGTCCCTCGGGCACATTGGCGACAATGATACCGATGAGGAAGATGACGGCCTCCAGCCAGGAATAACCCAGGATGATTGACAGGACGAAGAAGCTCACGCCGAGGAAGACAGCCACGCCTGTAATGATGTGGATGAAGTGCTCGATCTCCTTAGCAATAGGCGTCTGAGGAGTAGAGGAAGATGTTTGGAGAAGATGATTTACTGCTAGCAGTTATACTAAAACTAAGAAACTATATTTTATGCCAAGGTACATGAAATTACTTCATCTGATCCAAAACACTTACTAACCACAGGAACCTTCTGGAAAGTTGTTGTTTTTACACTAAGAATGAATATATGTATGAGCAGCTGAATAACTATTTTAGGAAGCACCCTCCATTATATGGCTTATAAATGATACAATGAATAATAATGATTATTGTACCTTGCCAGTCTCCAGACCTGAGGTAAGAGTGGCGATGCGGCCCATCACTGTACGATCACCAGTACATACAACGATGCCACGTGCTGTTCCTGAAGAAAAAGAGGACAGAGCGGGTTTTGCAAAATAATCTAATACTTTATCTGTTATAGAAAAGATAAATGAAATCAAAATAGAGAAAAAAAGAAACAGACACTGAAGAGTGGTTTGTTCGGCTGAACATAAAATAACAGGTACTCTACCTAAAGGATATTTACACCAGCCACTGCAAGGATAAGGTTAGGGGAATCATTAAGGATCCCGACAACCTGGATAACAAACCTTTTCTTCCCTGGTGCAATCGGAAAGAAGGTACACCAGGCCGGTATATCTTATTTAAGCGCACAAATTAAATGAACTGGCGGGATTACATTTCTCTACTATTACATATATGATCTCTATGACGTCTATATGATTAAATGTGACAAATACATTTGACTGACTGACACGTCAAGAAGAAAATATGTAGACTGTGAGTTTAGATTAATGTCTGGATAGACTGGACAAAGTGATGACAAACTATATGTCCACCAGAGGGTGCCATGTTTTATTATTTTCCTATTCTATCACTGAGAGGACCACGTTGCGAGTTGCAGGACCTGCCAATAATATGAGAAACTGAACAGGAAAGGAACAGGGATGAAGTTAGAGGGGGTCACACTTCCAGTCACTGAGCTCCCCTGATGACCAGTAATCACTGATCACTCCCTCATCAAACCAAACACTTTGACCGTGACATGCAGCTATATGAATAAATACACACACACATGTAGAAAAGTCTATATAAGTCTAATAATGATTACTAATATTGGATGGAGGTGATGGTGATCTTACCCTCGACACAGTTAGTGGAGAAGAAGGCAATGTTGCGGGTTTCCAGGGGGTTGTCATGGGTACAGTCAGGTGACCTGGTCTGGGGCTCTGATTCACCAGTCAGGGATGAGTTGTCCACCTGGACATTTGGTATGTGTGTGAGAGAGGGGTAGAGAGACAAAGAGGAAGATAAGGGAGCAAGTAATTGGTTGAGTGCGTTCATGATAAGGTGAATGCCAGATAGAGACAGATTGTGTGTGTTTGCTCTGTTTTAATTTTCTTTGTTCATGCTTGCTGTGCCTCTGATTACCATTTGTGTTGCTGTGCACTGGTCTTTTGTGTTTTAATAGTTTTAATAATGTGTTTAACAGACATTACATTTCATAAAAATGTAACTTCCTAGCAAACATTCAGAGATTGATTTGAGGTTCATATGAGGGTCTGCAGGAACACTGAAAATCTGTGTGAATTCAGGATGAAGAAAAACAAATGATCAGTTTTTGTCCAGTTAACAAAGCTGTTTTAGTGTGAATTTCATATTTATATTGTGATGTTCAAGAGATGTTTCAGTTAATAACACAACGCAACCACATTTTCACAGTTGAGGGAATAAGCTGAAAGGTAGTGTGTTTACTTGTAACAAATCCAAGTGCTTTGTGTAGCACCTGAAAACGTAACACTCAACAGACGCCTTACTCAAGGGCAACTTTACAGTAGCTGCTGGTTTTTTCCTTTGGGTCACATGAATACAGGATTGTATCTGTGCCTGTAGCTCACCTTGCAGCCGTGGGAGGAAATAATGCGGAGGTCAGCGGGGATCCTGTCTCCTCCTTTCACCTCCACCAGGTCTCCTGCTACCACCTGCTCAGCATTGATCTGCATCTTCTCTCCCTCACGGATCACCAGGGCTTGCTGGGAACACACACAGAGAGAGAGAGAGAGAGAGAGAGAGAGAGAGTGAGAAAGAGAGTGAGAGGTGTAATGCCATAAATAACACAAAATCTCAAAAGTGAAGACAACAGCACATCAGTGTAAAAACTAAAACAATTGAAAGGTACATCACAGATCAAGAAAAAATAAATTGTGTGAAAGCTGTGACAGCATGATACTGTGGCATGCAGCTTTATAAAAATACAATCAAACTACTAACTCCTACACACTGGTCCTTTAATCTACAATCAACAACAAACATTACTACAGTTCTTATTTAGAAGAAATTATTTGCTGCCATCTCCTTAATATAGTGATAAATGCCTTTCTAAAATAATTTAACAGCAATACATGGCCTTTTATGGGTTGATAAAAGTATCCACCTTTTAAACTCAACATGTTACAATAAACTGATTTATTTGTATTTTTATTTGTTAAGTTGATGGCTATGAGAATCTCAACACAATGTTTTCCTTTTCCCAAAAAATATTTTCTTTCTTATCATGAATACTAATGAATTGGCAAGGTGTTCCTACGAAGACGCTGTTTTGGCTTCTCTTTGGTCTCACTTCCACTATCTTCTCTTGCCAGGCAAACTTGTGCAAAACTTTTACTGTAAAATCCACCTAAAAGCTTAAACTTGCAAAGCTGCAGCTAACCCTTTGTAAAAACCCCTTTGGCAACAATTACCATTAAAAAACCATATCACAATATCCTGGTTGAAATATTGAGCATCCGTTACCTGAGGGACCATGTTCTTAAAGGACTCCATGATCTTGGAGCTCTTTGCTTCCTGGAAGTATGAGAAGCAGCCAGTGATGATGACGACAGCTGACAGCACGATCCCCAGATACAACTATGAAGAGAAGGAAGAAAGAAAGATGATACTTCCATATTTAATGCAGAAATGAATTGATTGACTTCACCTTTATCTAAAAATGTATCACAAAGGAAGAGAAAAATAGACCAGTGGAGAGATACATACAGAGACTATCAGTAAGTCATTCTGACCTCCAACACTGGACCGTAGAGGAGTGTGAGAGGTAGAGAGGCTAATTAAGGAAATTCTAGAAATAACACAGATAGTTGTTAAGCCTTTCCTTAAATTGTTTAATCCTGTAGCTGACAGCAGCATGTAGTTTGATTTGGTCCTCTGGAGACCACCTACTCTCTTTGTGGTTTTAGGACTATTCTAGTGTATCTATTGTCTTTTTATTGGATCACTGTTACAAAGTCTAAATCTTTTAAATAATCATCCCATACAGCACTCCCCTCTTTGTCCTATCTGACATAACTGTAACTGTGTGTGTGAATTTATATTATGAGTATGTGATACGGTCTGGTCACACATGCTGATTCGTTGCTGTTGTTGTTTCCGACCCCGAGTCTTCCCCTGTGGTCTGAACCAAGTATTTTGTCCTTTCATACTGTGTGTGTCATCACCGTTTAGTCATTCCCTGCCGCTACGCTGCGCTCTGACCCAGCTTGAAACAGTGCTGACCCTTCTCTTACCCTGCCATTACCAATGCCAGGAGTCAAATGCCCCCTGTGGCAGGCCCAAAATGGATGTTAACAGGATGGTGTCTGTCACACTAAAGATGGGTTGGCTGGCATGATTTGGACAAACAGCTGACACATCCTTTATCACTGACACAGACACACCCCCAAGCAGTAGTGACTCAGAAAATCGCTTTTTGAGTGATGTGCTGTCGGCCAGGGAGCACGCACACAAACACACTAGCGGCAATTCATCGTTCTCTATGTGCTCCTCTCGGGTACAAACAGTGGCGGACTGGGAATTCATTTTATCATCATCCATCCATCCCTACAACTCTCCACTTACGTTATCCCCAGCGGGCTCGTCCTCTGTGGCAGCCTGGATGGCATAGGCAAGAAAGCAGAGGATGGCACCGATCCACAGGAGGATGGAGAAGCCACCGAACAGCTGGCGACAGAACTTGACCCACTCTGGGGTGGTGGGGGGTGGAGTCAGGGCGTTGGGGCCGTCCCTGTCCAGGTACTCTGCTGCCTTGGCATTGGTCAAACCCTAAGAGGGGCAGAGGACAAAAAGGAAGATGGATAAAAGGAGAGATGGATGAGCAGAGACAGTGAAGAAGTAAGAAAGAAAGTAGGAAAGGACGGAGAGAGGGTGGACGAAGGGAAAATTAGGATAAAGGAAGAGGAGTAGCAAAGAGGGGGAGAGAAAGACAGTGTTGTAAATGGGACACTCTAAAATAAACTCTACAAAATCTAAATAGATCCTGACGGGGATATCGACGTAAAATGAATAACTGTTGAATCGTCAGCACTGTGGTAAATCTGGACAAAAACAACCGTGATGGTGGAACTGATCTGAGAACTCACCTGGACAATATCAGTGTTGTATTTCCGGCAAACCTCCTCAACAGACATTTTGTGTTCTGTCTACAAAGAAGTAAAATAGATCAACAACCTGTCAGTTATCATGTCATTTCAAAACTGTATTCAAGATAAATAATACATGTGATTGTGAAATGTCAAATAAAGGAATATCTTATCTTATCTAATGATACTATAAAACAATGTAAAACGTTAAAAAGTTTGAACATTAAGGTGTCGTGTGAGGAATTTCACTCCTGGAAAGATGGTCTTAGACTAAAATATGTTTCTGAAAACATCTGAGGCAAATAATAGGCAACAATAGTTTCATGATCCACCCCCTGGTGGCACGGTCTGCAGAGGCGAGGCAAGCATGTACAAATGCAGAAGCAGACACTGAGTTAGAACAACAGCCCTCAAAGCTGACAAAGTCTGCCAGATGACATGTTTTGTGCCATTAGGAAAGTGTCACTTTCAACCAATGAGACAAAATCATTTATTTTGTATTTCCTCCTCAGAGAAGTTTGGGTACCGTTTTAAAAGTGTTAAATAATACTTTGAAAATCAAAATGTGTATCTGCCCCAGCCCATGCAGTTTGATAACAAAGGGATATCCTGAGGGTTTGGCTTCCTGCCCCATAGAGGAGCAAATCCTTCCACAACAGGATTAAATTTCTCTGGCATATTACATCAAACCACACTGTACACTACTGTATGGCAGCTGCTAGGGAATACTATGTCTCTATTATCTCTTTTTAAAACAGGGAGATTAGATTACAGTTGGATCGTAGCTCTCTGAATGCTGGAGTGAGGCCAGGATACGCTATCTATGAACTCCTCACCACGCAGCTGGGACTTCAAGGCTTTTCTTATGCCTTTATTTTAAATTTGATTTTTGGGTGCTTGTGTGCCACCAACCTGGTAGTAAGTGGAAAAAAGCAACCAAAATCATATGACATAGTACAGCTAGGTCACAGGAATTAGGAAACTGTGTACTTACTATGGGAACTTCCTTCTTGAGGTCGTCCAGATCCTTGCCTCCCTTCTTCTTGGGTGACTCCTTCTCATCCTTGTCCTGCGTGGTGGCCACGCGGTAGCTGTCCGACCGTCCATACTGTAACACACAACGGCATACCGTCATATTACTTTATTACACTATTATTATTTAACTTTTGAACAGTCGACACCCTAATCCTTGTTCTCACGGCCACACAAGAAGACGTCTGCAGCAAATTACTGCACAATCAAACCTTCACCCTCTATAAAATGGAATCACCACCCGAAAGAAAAGGCAATAAAGTCAAAGCAAAGAAAGCCTTCACTGTCCCACTTGTAGGTGTATCATGAACACCAAATACACTTTCACTTAGGATTACCACTTTAAGACCACGTTAAAACATCTAGATTGAGATCCAAACTTAGATGTAATCCCCTGGTGTGAGAAGGGGGAACTCGACACTTCCTGATTAGATCTGGCATCATTAGAGAACAGGCCTGTCTCAGGAGCTCCACTTAAACTGCAATTCACACCACTACTGCCCTTCAGAATACAGATGCTGTTGCTGTGTCTGAGAGGAGAAAGAAAAGTGTGTTTACGTGTGTGTATTATATATCAGACATATCACACCTGCTTGTTGAATAATGGACGTCTGGCAAAACCTGCAGCTTTGTTTTATTTGATTATAATGTCATTACTATTATTATTAGTTTCAGTGTTCTAAGATTGTCTAAATGCCAGTTCCTGTCAAGAATAATATCCCGGGGGAAACACGACATACTTGTAATTGTTGACATGAAAGAGGGAGAGGAAATTAAAAATGAACAGAGGCTTTTGGCAACTTCAGTCCAAAACATACAGGAAACTGTGTATTTGCTGGATATGGCAGCAGGAAAGCAACTAAACGTGAATAAAGGTAATAAAGTCCCTATAAATATTAGAATAAATACATTTCTAGAGACTTGGTGGGTGACTTGACTCATCCTTGAAAAGTCTTAATGCTGTGAGGAAAGTGAGTATTCCCTGCATCAGCATTATAAGGATATAGCTACTTTGCTCCAACAAACCCATTAACCTAAAAATAATGCTTTGTGTGTAAGCCCCTTGCTCATATGTTCCTGGGGGATTAGTTTTTTCTCAAGTCGCACAGTTACCCAGCACGCACCTTCCAGGATGAACATCCTGAGGGTTTCTAGTAAAGCACTAAAATGTCAGCCAGCCACTCGGCTCACCACTGCATTGAAACAGACAAATGAAAGAAGAAAGGAAGGTGTTCGGATTTTAATATTCGTCACACAGGTTTATATCAAAGACTGATCATTTTTCACTGAGGTTCCCACTAAGGTCCGAATGTAGAATTTCATGACTTACACTATATTTCTGTGAAGTTACCCATTTCTATTCTTTTATATTATCAAACTCCCTGTCTGGAGAAGTATGCCTCATTTCATGCTATAGATAGAACTTGTTGAACTAATAAACCCTCTGCATTAATGTATAACACTTCCATCCTGTGTGGAGGAAGTGACATTACTGTAGCAGAGCTTGCTCAGTGTCTTGGCAGTAGCAGCATCAATAAGCCTTTTTAATAAAAGACATTTTGACATGTCGTAATAGAAAAAGTGCAGGTGTAAACGACAAAACTAATGATGATAATAAAACTAATTATTCCAGGGAGCTGCTTTTTTTAGGCCCTTAGTTTTTTAAGACTTAACTAGAACAATGTCTTTGTTAATGTTCTTTGTGTTTTTCTTACTATGAAAGTCAAAATGTCTGCTGTGAGAGAGGGATTCAGAACATAAGGCTGCTGAAGAAAAATTTACTTTTTTCTGTCCAGTGTGAATACTTTACAACTATACTATACATCCCTTCATCCAGTTCAATCAATCGCAGCCCAGTTGGGGAATACGTTGATCTAAACAATGATGGTTCAGCCGAGTGCTGGGTGGTGTGATCAAAGGTTTGTATTTCAGTATATCACATAGTTCCTTTAAAACATTTTACACGACTAGGCCTTTAAGTACATAGTCAGAAGTACATAGAAAAACATTTTAATGTAATCATGTGTATACCGAAGGCTTTCATTACGTTTTCTTGGCCCAACAAAATGATATAATATATGAAGGAATCTGAAATGCACAAATTATTTGCATAATGATAACAGCTGATATTGTGCCAACTGCAGCGTAGAAAAATCAGAACTTAAAAGTAGAAAATTATATTCCAAAAACTTTAACATTGCTTCCTTTTTAAAAGAAAATATTTTACAATTGTTGTACAAACACTATAAGCTGACATAAAGTACTTTAAGTAACTAAAGAAAGAAACCAGTTGTTGTGTGCCATGGTGTTCTGACCTGTTAAAGAGAGTTAGTTTTTAATTGCTGTGTTATAAAGTTATAACCGTTAGTAAAAGGGTGCACAGTTAATAGGGCTCCCGTCTCAATCTACATTGCTTGCCCCGACAACAATACTGCTGCCAGTTGCAGAGTTACAGCAGCTGTTTCCCCGATGAAAGGAAATGAAATGCTGTATTGCTCAATACTAGTTCAGCCACTAAACCACTGATGGTCACAAATGGATGCGTTCTTAGAAACAAAGACACATAAAGACGATTTATTATATAATAATTGGGTTTAGGAAACAGGAGGACGCATGGGTAATTTAACAAATCTATTGCTAGAGGAAATGTAACTCACTACATTTCTGAGTTTTAATAGACTGCTTAACCTTATGAAATGAATTTAAATTTCACATTGAGCCTAAACTTAGCTGACATGTCCAAGAAAAACATTTAGATTCATATTCTGTGTAAGCGTGCATGATGAGAGGGGAGAGCAGACTTATTTTGGGAGAGCTCTTATGTGGATGAGTCTAATCTGAGAGGTTTCTGATTTGATGGCTGTTTTATGCTGTTTTTTTCCTCACTGGATGAAAAGCTAGCAGGTTGATGATTTATTGAAAGCCAACCAAACACGTTTTACATCCTCTTATCTCTATACATCTCTCTGTGCATTGGTGTTTAACTTTAGTGTGTGCGCATGTGAAATAGTTTTTCTATTATTTATGTATGTAGTGCGTTTTTTCTCATGAATGCATTATGTATGTACTGTTATAAGGACAGACTAATTTGATACCAAATATGAGGCCTCTAATATCGGGTCAATTATGTTGTGTTCTTTGTTCTTTGTTCACTATATTCATTGATTTCTTTCTGTTGTGTTTTGTCCTTAATTTAAACGCAGGCAATCTTTTCTACCTCTGCCCTAGAAATCTATAAACGTTTCAGAATGACATCAGACTAAATTCTAGTGAACTGTTTTAATTTTCCATGATGGTCTAAATGCTGTTTTATAGCCTTAACATTTGAGCTGTCACAATACCGATTTAACCAGGACTAGTCAGATATTTTGGCAGAATGATTGTTTAGCTCACAGTTCCTGCCAGAACTAGTGGTACTACCCACAGCAACAAGGCTACTCTGCGCTCGCTCCTGACCAATGTGCCTTTCTGAACAGGTCGGTGTGTCCTGCTGATAGCCTTTTGTGAAGAATATATAATGTTCTCTGTAGAAACTCTCATTTATGGTCAAGTGTATAGAGTTTTTGAAAGATTGCTTTTCGGCAGTGTGATTAAATGACAGTTATAAAACACACACACAGCACACACTCTGTATTTTGTCATTTTGTTGGCTGTGTAAACCTTGTACTAAATGTTAGCCATTTAAAATGAACGATATCATTTGATGGACATCAGATTTGAAGTGTTTCATTGATTTCTAACTTTAATGTCATAAAAAATAAATAAAAAAGATATTATGCAACAGTAGGGAGGCAGCAGCGTTCACTTGTAGACTACGTG